ATGTGCCATATCAACACCCAAAACCTTTTGACTTCTCTAGTTCCCCAAATCATGATCGAACTTTCACTACAACTTAATTCATTTTATGGTTAGGACACTCGGAAAAATACTCGGTATCTGGTAGCTATCTCCAAGGGGTTTCAAAGTTTCCTTCTTTTTCTTATCTAAATTAAAGGTCATTACTACCCAACCTTTGGGTTCGTTTAAGGAAACACATCAATACTTTAAATTGTTACATTTCAATCCTTTTTATATATTCCATTTTTTCCAATGTAAGAAAACAACAGTCAACTTAAAAGAGAGATATATGAGGTTAGATCACTAAATATATCATCAATTAAAATTTCCACATTGAATGATTGACTTGTAGTTGTAATTATCTTCAGTAAAGTTATGACATAATATCACATGGTGGAGTTAAGCTAATTTTCTTTCTAATTGTCGTATGAAAGGCACTCGCTTGGATCAAAACAGAGCTTGATGAAAGCAGATGTCTCCAAATCCAATTTACCAAGTAGTACCGAATAGGAGTACGGGATTGAAAGAGAATTTGTGGTGAAAAGACCACTTGGGATTTAAAGGAAATGACATAGCAAGTATAATATCAGAGATGCATGCTCGAGCTGCATTTTTCTTTACAAGGGAACAATAGTTGATGCGGACTATTAACTTGCAGTTCAGTGATTCAATTAAAAAAGTTAGAAATCAATCACTATCATATCGGGAAGGGAACTCACAAGTTAGTTGCTTTGACTCCTTTAATGAATCAATAAAGGAACATAAATGTTGGCATATATAATATAGAGGGAATACCATATTTGATGCTAACATACCTCATCACAACCTGATTCCATCATGACTCTTATTGATCTCGTGACAAGCTCGGTAGCTACAATACAGAGAAAAAAATTGATAATAATGAAGATCTTGAACTCTAATAGGTTTATAACAAAAATAATGTATCTTAAAACCAAATTTAAAATGGAAAAACATTATGGAGTAGGTTCAATGTTATGGTAATAAACAAATGATGTTCTAATCTGTTAGACGAACACGACTTTCCACAATGGTATGATATTGTCCACTTTGAGCATAAGCTCTCATAGCTTTGCTTTGGGCTTCCCCAAAAGGTCTCAGACCAATGGAGAGAGTATTCCTCGATTATAAACCCATGATCATTCCCTAAATTAGCCAATGTGGGACTCTCATCATCCAACACCTCCCCTCGAACAAAGTATGTCTCCCCTTAATCGAGGCTCGACTCCTTTGGAGTCTTAGTCATTTTTTGACTATGCCTTCGAGGAGGCTTGACTCCTTTTCTTTTGGAGTCCTTTGTTTGACATTTGAGGATTTACCAATCTATTGGCACAACTAAGTTTTAGGGCATGGCTCTGATACCATGTTAGACGAACACGACTCTCCACAATGGTATGATATTATCCACTTTGAGTCCTTTGTTTGACATTTGAGGATTTACCAATCTATTGGCACAACTAAGTTTTAGGGCATGGCTCTGGTACCATGTTAGACGAACACGACTCTCCACAATGATATGATATTGTCCACTTTGAGCATAAGCTCTCGTGGCTTTGCTTTTGGCTTCTCCAAAAGGGCTCAGACCAATGGAGAGAGTATTCCTTGATTATAAACCCATGATCATTCCCTACATTAGCCGATGTCGGACTTTCATCATCCAACGTAATCAACGGTTAGGAAGAGAAAATTGGGATCATGATCTAGAGTAAGCAGGCATTCTTGTCAAAGAGAATTGAGTAGAAACTATTCTAATATGTAATTATATTGTAAGAACATAGAAATCCAAGTAAATTATACAAATGAATCTTCCGAAGAAATTACAGCTCCAATTTACATGGAAAACTATTGAAAGCTTACAGATAGGATAACTCAAACAGCTACGAGCAACTAGAACCGAAAATTGCAATGATCACGCATTAGAGTAAATGAGCCATTATCAAACACGGATAAATAACAATCACTTCATATAAACAAGAAAAGCAAGGAAAAATTTACCAATGCCTTTGCCTCTATAAGGCTTGATGACCACCAACATGGCAATGTACCCTCTGAAAGTGCCCCTATGCTCTCCCATCTTACAAACCACCGTCCCGACACATTTTCCTCGATGGAAGGCCTGAAGAAACAACAAAAATTAAAGAGAATGGCAACGATCATGATCTAATTAGTCAGAGATTTGACACAAAAGCGAGATTAATACCAGGAATGATAGTTGAGGCCAGAGATATACGAAGTAACGATAGGTGAATATGGAGTAGGGTTCGCTGAGTTCTTGATCGACGAGATTCATGATAAGAGGCAAGTGATGCTCACCGCCATAGCTTACGTACTCTATCTCCGATGCTTCAAATTCAACTTTCCTCGTTTCTCCCTCTTCTACAACGCCGTCCACCTTCGCTTCCATTCTCTATTCTTCTCGCCGGAGACCGCCGCGTCGCCTGAAGGAATGCCGCGGAATTTTGGATAAATCAATCAGTGCGAGAGAATTAAACTCAAATACCAGAAAAAGATCGAACCCTTTGAATCCCTGAAAATCTTTATTTATTTAAATTATTAAAATTACCCCGAAATTTTTACCCAAATAAATTTGGTTAATTCAAGTATTACTCAATCAAATATATTGATTAAAAAATGAATATTTAAATTTTTTAATAAAAACTCGAGTATGCACTCGTCTCCAACGTCGAAGATTTAGTTCTCGTATTTAAAATAAATAAAACTTATCTAGACGTTGGAGACCATACAGGGGTATAGCACAGTCTGTGAGAGAAAATTCAAGCTCACGATCCGTCTGCATAGTGTCGGCCTCAACCTGGAAGACAAGGATCCTTAACTCAGTCTCGAACACATTCTAAAGACATCTATTGTGTTTGTCTTATTTTTTGTCACTAGCTAGGTAGATGGGTCCACAGAGCGCAATGCATCCAAGGCATTACATTCCAACAAACTTGTCAGACACTCTTGTCATGCCTAAGTCTAACTTTGTCCTCATACAAAAAAAGCATAGCGTATTTTGAACGAGTAAAGTTCATTTTGGCACATCTATACCCGTCTTATATACATGATTTGAAATATATCAATTATATAAAATATACTAGAAATTCATCCCTACTTCAAGATAAATATTTCTCGTACAATGTCATAATCTAGCAATTACGATGACACGTCTATTTCAACCGGATATGGTAATTTGTAGTCAATATATATAATTTGATAAAAAAAAATTAGAAGACTCGTGCTTGAAAAACTAATTTGACCATATTTAGTAATTTCAGTAGTACCTAGTCTTGAACAAATTTTAGTTTGATTAATGCATAAATTGATAAATTGATGATAATTCGGTTATAATTCACAAATTTTAATGCAAATTTATGTATAGAATCATTTTTCTTTGAAATTCGGTCATTTTTGTTTCATATTTTATAATTCATTAAAGGCAAATGAACATACAATTATCATTAATTTTTTAAATTAACTTGTTTCTTTTAATAGTATTTAAAAAATATATTTAAATTTTAGACAAAATTTAAATACAATTATTGTTAATTTTAAAAATAAACTTTGTTTTAAAAACACTCTGCCAGGGATTAAATTTAAAAGAATATATTTAAATTTTTAAAAGATTTGTCAGTAAAAATACTCATAAAATTTTAATGATAGTATTAACACTTTTTATGAAATAAAAAATTATTGTCATTGATCTATGAATAGAAATAGTTTTTTTTTTTTTTTTTAAGTTTAAGGTATTATCTAAAATTTTGAAAGTTAAAGATATTAAAAATTTAGTTCTAAATATATATATATAAATAAAAGAATGGAAATAAGATATAAGAACTAAAAATAATATTTAAACTTAATTTTTTTTATAATATTAAAATAAAATTTTTTATTCCAAAATTTAAAAATAGTATAATCCAAGTCCCCAAATTTAAGAAACTGTTTCATTAAGTCCACGAATCAACGGCTCCATTAAATAATTAATGAATCACTAATATGGCAATTTTATGATAAAATAATAATTAGTGGAATAAAAGTAATAATGATAATAATTAAAAATAAAAAAAAAGTAAATCAATAAAAAAAATACCCGTTTGTAGTCAGTAAAAAAAATATTCTTAATTTTAAATTTTAAATTTTGTTATGAGTAATAACGAAATTTTTTTTATAAATATTTTGAAAACAAAATATTTCCTTTAAAACAAATGATAATTGACAATGATATTTTTTAATTTTTAATGTTTTAAGTTAAAAAGATTTTTTTTAGACTTTCTTTAATTTAAAAATATTATTAAATTTTTTTTGAAAGTTAGCCAAAATAAAAACCATTCTTTATTATTATTATTATTTTTTGACCTAAAAATAATTTGATTTTATTTTGACTCAAAAAAAAAAAAAAAAAAAAAGTGACGGAGAGTCCAAAGCGAAAGGCGCCAAAAGGCCATTGATTAAGGGCGAGGGAAGAGTGTTAAATAAAAAAAAAAACGGGGGTTGGGGCATAGTCGTTGCATGCAACCTCAGAACTTTTCCTCCACCTGTATCCCTCCTCCTCTCCCCAACTTTCATCCCTCCTCACCGTCCATCCGTCTCTCACTTCCTCGCCACTACCCTTCTCTCCTCCCTCCTCTTAACCATGCTTAACCTTTTTCTCTCTCTCTCTCTCCTCCCTCTCTTAACCATGGTTAACCCATTTCTCTCCCTCCCCTCATTTATACAAACATACTCCATTCATTTAACCACCATTAACTTCAACCTCTACAAACTCACTCCATTCACTTAACCATGGTTAACTTAACTTCCCATAGGAATACTTAATTTAACTCTTTCTCTCGTTTCACGTTATTTGATTTAATGGGTAGTCAGTATTTAACCATGGTTAAATTTATTTAATGGTGGTGTGTAGATAGATAAATAGAGAGGTATGATACGGATATAATTGTTATGTTATGGTTGTTTTTTTACCCTTCCTCTATTTCACCACTCCCTTAGCTTCCACACTTCCCCTTTCTCTCTTGCCAAAAATAGCACATTATCTACTGCCCCTTTCTCTCTTCCTCCTCCTCCTCCTCATCATCATCATGATGTCCATCATCAACCAGGATCACTGCCCACTCCAAGACGTCAACCACCGCCTCGCCGCCGCTTCCCCCGATCTCGCCGCCGCGGTTCCCGGCTTCGGCGGCGGTGGAGTCCACCGCAAGAAGAGGATGGCCCGCCAGCGCCGCTCTTCTTCTAATCTTCACTTCTCCTTTCCTCCTTCTTCTTCTTCCGCCCACCTCCCTCCCCCTCGGGTACTCTTCTTCTACTTCTTTTACTCTCTTTATTTTTATTATTATTTTTTTTTTTTTGTAATATGGGATTTAAAGGGATTTTTTTTTTATAAAGAAAACCCAATAAAATTTAATTATAGCATAGGATTAAAGTCATGTAACTATTTAAAAATTGATATAAAATATGAGTAAAATATTTTATTAATATTTTTGAGCCACTAAAAATAATCCAAATATTCAAGAGGGAGTTAGAAGCAGCAGCATGGATTGGTGCAATGGTGCAAGAACAATATTAATAAAATAAAAGAAAATAAAAGAAAAATAAAAGAAATGCATTTGTTAGGGTAATTTGGTAATTAAAGTGGAAGAAGGAGGTGAATTACTTAAGGGTTAAGAATTTGTAAGGCAACCCTAAATAAAGTAGTTTATGAAAACGAGCAAAAGGTAAGCGAATCAAAGGAGGGTTACCATGTATATGTTTAGGTACAGATTATTACTAAAATCCAAATATTTATTTATATTTGTTTTTTTTTTTAATTTAATTTTTTTTTTGGTTCATCAAACACGATATCATTCTTGTACTTTTTTTTTCTTGTTTGATGTTATGTTTTCGATCCTAATGTTGGATTTTTAGGTGGTCGTGTCGGGGTCCGTGTCATTGGTGTTTTTGAACTCTTTTTTCGTAATGTGTTTGGAAATCACGGTCGGGATTCTTCGATTCGATTTGGTTTAGTTTTGATGTAGCTTTTGAGTTTCGAAACTAAGAGTTTTTTAGCGCTTAGGGTTTCGGGTTGGGATTCTTCGTTTCGGTTCGATTTTTGATATAGTTGTTGAATTTTGAAACAAACGGTTTTTCCGAGTTTAGGGTTTCGGGTCTTTTTTAGGATTTAGGGTTTCAGGTAGGGATTCTTCATTTCGGTTCGATTTTGATATAGTTGTCGAGTTTTAAAACAAAGGATTTTCAGGATTTAGGGTTTCGAGTTGGGATTCTTCATTTCGGTTCGATTTTGATATAGTTGTCGAGTTTTAAAACAAAGGATTTTTCGGGTTTAGCGTTGGATTTTGGGTTCGGTCCGATTTTGATTAGTTGTGATAAAAAAAAAAAGTTTTATTATTATTTATTATTATTATTATTTTGTAAATTGAATGAACAGGTAATTGATCCAAGAAGGCTGAAGTTTCTTTTTCAGAAGGAGCTGAAGAACAGTGATGTTAGCTCTCTTAGGAGAATGATACTCCCAAAGGTGTTGATGAACAAAATTATAATATGCTTTTTAATTAATTAATTAATTAATTACTTAATTAATAACTAATTAACACAAATTATTTCTCAGAAAGCAGCTGAAACTCACCTCCCAACTTTGGAGTCTAAAGAAGGAATCATCATCACCATGGATGACTTGGATGGAGTCCATGTTTGGAACTTTAAATATAGGTTCGGTTCGGCTCGGTTCCGTTCCGTTCGGTTTGGTTTTGTATGTATAATTATGTTTTTAAAATGGTTGAATTTTGCAGGTTTTGGCCGAATAACAATAGTAGAATGTACGTACTTGAAAACACGGGTAAGCTCTCCTCAAATCGTTATCAAACAGAGTTTAGTTTCTGTTCACGTTATGATCTAACATAGATATCGTAATTTTGACATTGAGTTGTCGCAGGGGACTTCGTCAACGCCCATGGCATACAACTAGGAGATTTCATCTTGGTTTACCAAGATTTTGAAGATCATAGCTACGTAAGCTAGTTTCGTTTTGTTTCCAATAGGATAATCTTCGTAACACTTAGTATTTGTTTAATCTCTAATTAATTTTGTAGGTCATTCAAGCAAAAAAGGCATCCGATCCAGAAATATATTCCGACATAGCAAATAGTTGCGTTATGAATGGCGATATTGTGTTTCAAGACTTCAATGCTAGCAAAGCTGCTAACTCTATGTACGTGCCTAGTTCAACTATGGACGATCCCGTGTCATCGTTTATCTACGATACTAGCTCAGCTTTCGATAACGATTCGTCGTTTGACTTTATGAGTAGCTCAATGACCAACTACTCGAGAATGGGAGGTATCGAAGGCTTTGGATCAGTCGAGAACTTGTCGCTCGATGACTTCTACTAAGAGACATAGCTACAATAATAGTAAAGAAGCTGGTGCATGGTTCCACAACATGATCAAATATTTAGCTAGAAAAACCTTTGGAGGAGGAGAAAGGTTTGAACTTAATTATTTTGGTGCTAAAATGTGACCATGCAAGTTTGTATAATAAAAGAATGCCAAGCTTTGAAAGTCGCTGCCTTGTGTCTTGTGTTTTCTACCGTCTTACCAGTCTTACTCGTGCTGCTTCAATCAGCCATAATTAAGGATGTATATGAGTTGCGGTTGAGTTGAAATTTTTTTTTGGTTGGTTACTCGAGCAACTCGTATAGGATTTACGATCTAACCTAACCAAACTCAACCCTTTATTTTTTGGTTGAGTTTTGTTCGTTTGTTAATTTATTCATTTTTTTAATTATTTTAAAAAAATCTACGAGTACGTGATACATTAATAACTAAAATCTCATAAGTTTCTAATATAAAATATTTACAAGTCACGACGCATCATTAATATTGATTATAAACACAAATATTTTTATATTTTTTTTAAGTGGAGTTGGGTTGAGTTATAACTCTATTTTTTTATTGATTGGGTTGACCCGACCACGTAAATATCAACCTGCAAATAGAATAAATTTTCGATTTTCTAAAAAATCAGTTAAACCAAAATAAAAATGAAAAATTAACTTTTTTTTTTTTTAGATTGCTTCTACCATAAACTAATAATTGAGGAATTTTAGTTATTATTGTTATTTTATTTAATTCTATAATTATTTTTTTAAAGAGTAAAACGTCATTTTTTTTTAACCCTTTAAAAGGTGTCACAATACACTCCTTTGAGGTCTTAGGTGTTCGTTCTCTTCCCTAAATAATGTGGGATTTTACAATCCACCCCTTTGGAAGAGATCCTCCAATCTACCCCTTTCAGGGTCCAGCATCTTTGTTGGCACATCGCCTTGTGTTCACCCTTCTACAAGGCTCAGTCTCCTCGTTGGCACATCGCCTAGTGTCTAGCTCTAGTATCAACTATAACACCTCAAGTCCATCGCTAGCATATATTGTTATCTTTTCAACTTCCCTTTTCAAAATTTCCATCAAGATTTTTAAAACTCGTCTTACTTTGAGAAGTTGCCACACCCTTATAAAAAATGTCACGATCAAACTACAAATAGAAGACACAGAAGCGGCACAAGTGACACGCACCCGATAACATAAAAGTCAAAGACAAATAATATAACGTGATCGAGGAGGACAGTGTATTAGGACAATATTCTATATTAGGTTTCTTACCTGTTTAGTTTTTCCCTTGATTTTTTCTGCCTGACAGCTCGACACACCTGCACAGTCTTGGCAGTATGGCTTCCAAATGGAGCTCATGCACGGCTCTCCTACATTATTTAACCTAATTATTAATTTCTTTTTACTTTTGGGTTAAATTCCAATTTTTCACTGAGGGTAATTATTTTTTTTTACCGCTTCGAAGCTTCGGAACAGCTTGGAACTGGGAATTGTGAAGTTAATCGAAATCCTTGATTCTACAGTTCTATTGAAAACCCTAATTCGTTTTCGTTGATTTTACTCTGGAATTAGGGCTCGAAGCTTTCAAGGTGGGTTCTGCGCCACGTTAATGGCGGAAACTACTAACACAGAGGAGTCCGTATTTGATGCGAAGCGCAAAGTTGATACCTGCTCTGAAGAGAAACAGGAGCGTTCGAACAAAATTCAGAAGCTCGAAGTGGTTGAGGGCGATTCCTGCAATGCTGTGAAGAATGGTGTGAGTGGTGGAGGGATTGATGGCGATTCTTTGGTTGAGGGAGGGAAAGATGGTGGAGTTTGTGTGGATGTGGGAGAAGCAGAAGATGAAGATTATGAGGAGGTGGACAGCGACGAGGATGAGGAGGAAGATGGCAGCGACGATGGTGGAAAGTTGAGTGGGAAAGTGGATGAGGATCGTAAGGGGAAGGGTATCATGAAGGACGACAAAGGAAAAGGGAAATTTATTGAGGAGGAGGAAGACGACGACGACGACGACGACGACGATGGAAGTGAGTTAGGCTCTGAAGAGAGCGATTTGTCGGATGATCCGCTTACGGAGGTCGATTTGGACAACATACTTCCTTCAAGAACGCGAAGGCGGACTGTTCATCCTGGAGTTTATTTTGCTACGGATCTGGGGAACGACAACGATGATAGCAGCGATAGCGATGCTTGAATCTAGACGAGGAAGGTCAGTAAACTCGGAAATTGAACCTTGGAGTTAGTAGAAGTGATGTGAGTTGATATTGTAATGAATTTCATCATATAATTTGATTTTTAAGCTTACATGTTTTCTTCCCACTTTGATATCCGAAGCATTGCTTGCATCTATTGGTTTTGTTTCTTAACAACGCAGAATCAGTATTAAGTCTTTCTTTCTAGGGGAATTGTACCCATCACTCTTAATTGAAAGCCAAAATTTTACTCACTTAAGCTAAATTAGTGGATATCAGAAGAACATATAATTCTTGCTCATTGAGAAGTTTTTGGGATTCAAGCACTATTGCAGTAGAGCCTGCCACTAAGAAGAAACCTTGAGAACAGTAAAACATTGGGCCGCAGATCTTTTCCTCTCATAGATTGTAATCATGCAAATGCCTCTTGGAGTGAAAATTTTCCTGGGAAAAGACTCGCTTGATGACAATAACTTGCTAATCTGTTGGGGAGAAATCCTGTTCAATGAAAGGATTGTTTTTTACATTTCTTTTCTTTCTTTCTGTTTGTCAAATTATCTCTGTTGCAGGAGAAGTTAGTGATGGGCTCATGTTGATTGTTGTTCTTTGCTACTTATTAGTGCGTTTGACGATATATGTGACTATATGAGTCTTCAGTATTGGTTTTTGCTACTGTCATTCTTGGGTCTATCGAACTTATTCATTTAGGAATTTTTTATCCGTGGTATGTTATAGAGGTGCTGGTATAATTTTATTTTTCCTCATGTTCATGTGTAACTGATTTGATAGAACTCTATCTCTGTCTTTCTGTCTGTCTGTCTGTCATTTTTTGTAGCGTATGGATATGCACAATATGCACAATATGCTGAGAGGGTATGGGTGTAGGGGGTGGAGACTAAGAAACAATGTACTGGTTCTCATTGAAAAAAACAATGAACTGGTGGTGTAGGACATGTGCCAAAGATTAGAGGAGGAGGATCTTCTACTAAGTTCAGAATCCAAGGGGGGAGGGTGGAATGGTGGAGATCACAAAGCTTCTTCAGTTGTGGATAGAATCAAAATCTGAACCATGGGGGAGAGATAAGAATAGGCACAAAATTCACAACTCTATTAAGCTAGCTACTCCAAACTTTTTAGTCCTAGAAGTTGTCACTTGGTAAGTGGCTTAGCCCCTTTGAGAGACACTCCCCCTTCTCTTGTAGACAGAAATTATGCTACCCCACCTAAGGAGCGGTGGGGTAGGGGTAGGGGTAGTTAATTCAGACATGGGAACTTAATTTGGAGGGTAGCTAGAAGTCGTATCTAACTTTTGGATAATCTTTGTGTGGATTTCTTCTGACAAAATTTTTCGAAGTAGTAGTGTTTAAGGTGGCTTCAGTCTTCAACAGCCACCCCACTCCTTTGAAAGCAACCTATGCTATCCCTTCCCAAGTAGCGGTGGAGTGATTTTGAAAGAATTGAGGCATAAAACTCCGATGCAACGTTGAGTGACATCCTACTGTGTCATCATGGCAAAAAGAGAGAAAAAGAAAGTCTGTGGTTTACTTCTGACTAATTTTTTCAAACTAGTTTGGCTTGGTTGTTATGAGAGGTTGAGAGAGGATGAGAAAGTTGTTTAATTTCCCTGACATGGATTCACCCCAGGTGTTGGTAGAATATCTCGGTGGCACAAGAAGTTGTTTGAAGACAGTGTGTTCTAGGAAAGGGCACTCGAATAGAAACTAGTAACTTTGAGGGGAAGCCTGAAAAGGAAAGTCCAAAGAGGACAATATCTCTTAGCGGTGGGCTTGGCTTGGGCTGTTACAAGAACCATGTCGTTCCGTACTTGGGGGTTCTCTGGCTTGGGCTGTTACAAGAACCATGTCGTTCCGTACTTGGGGGTTCTCTGGCTTGGGCTGTTACAAGAACCATGTCGTTCCGTACTTGGGGGTTCTCTGGCTTGGGCTGTTACAAGAACTATGTCGTTCCGTACTTGGGGGTTCTCTGGCTTGGGCTGTTACAAGAACCATGTCGTTCCGTACTTGGGGGTTCTCTGGCTTGGGCTGTTACAAGAACCATGTCGTTCCGTACTTGGGAATTCAGGAGAACCGCTGAGACACGCTCCATCATCTTTGATAATCTTTCAACCATTTGATTACTGTAAAATTAAGCTCCCAAGTACTATTCTAAGAACTAATTGGAAGTGTGTTAGTGATGATTATAGGAAAGGGAGGCATGATGTATGACTTTGTGGTTAGTCAAGAATCTTCCTGGAATTATATTATTACATGGATCTGGCAATGGGAATTGGGGATGGAATAAACTCTGGTTTCAGTTTGGATGCATATTTTGTTTTTGTTTTTGATTGTGCGTGCAGTTCTCAACCTGTGCAGGAATCTATTCTCTGCATTGATTGATATGAAGGGTTTCTTTTAATTTCTTTCCTTTTCAATCCTCCTCTTTCTTCTTTTTATTCTAAATATGAACCATAAGTTTGTATCTCATGCTTCCCTTCCTGGAAACTGTAGTCCTACGCCCCCATATTCTTCTTTCTTCTTTGGTGATGGTGTTCCCTTTGGCCGTGGAGGCTTGCGATGACCGACTTTTTTCGATCATCACGACGTCAAGGCTCCAAACAACTAACTCCAAATGATGCCCCATGTTAAATGTCGGGCCAAATCAACTCACTTAACAACGACGACACCAAATCAACTGGCGAGCCAGCATTGTACTCCTCCCTCAAAATGTCGTTGGAGTGAAATTTGGCTAAATTAATAGAAATACCCATTGACCAAAGTCAATTTTACAAGTAAAAATATCATTTTTTTTATTTTGTAGAAAAATTCATAAACCAATACAACTCTGTTTATAATTCAGTTAAATCAAATCAGATTGTTTGAATCATATTATCCCTTATTTATACATTCCTAGCAGAGAAAAGCCCATTTGAGAAGAGAAGTGTATTTCAAATCAATCAATCAATTATTCTTTTTGCTCTTCATATT